TATTGTATTTTATTACAATACAATATTTCATATTACAGAGTATTGTATTGTAATACTTTGCCAAGCCATCACATTCTTTTCCTATATCTTAAATGAAGAGAGATTGGGAAGACTCAAAAGTTCTTCATATGACCCAGAACTGGCCTATTTGGGAGGTGGAAGAGAGGTGACTTCTGAAGGCAACCTGCTCAGGTTTTTCAAGAAAACTATAGACTTCTGACTCCTTTCACAGTCATGTTATCTTTTCACTGGCCTTAACTTTTGCATCTTTAAAAGGGAAGGCTTCCATTCTTCCTTTCGCTTTGCCCTTCCTCTGTGCCTGGGGACTTCACAGACGTCTATTGTTCTCTTGGCAACAGAACCAGAGGTGACTTGCCATTGCATTATGCCAGATATTCTTTCAAGTTTCCAGGCCCGCCTACAGTTCTGGGTTCTCCTATTCAAATCCTAACCAGGTCTTACCCTGCTGTTTGAGATCAGCCAAGGTTGATCTTAATCTTTTGGATATAAAATGTTGTAATATCCATATAGGACATGGGTTGGTTTAAATATCATAACCATATGAGGCATGAACGAACTGCCATCACCACAAACCAAGCTGCTTTGTAAGGGGAAACTGAATTCAGATCATGATTCCCAACTTGTAGGCCCCAACACTTGACTAACTTGGTTAGGTTATGATCAGTCATCTTGGGATTAGTTTGTTTATGGCTCAGCGTGTTATGCAAAGCCAGTCAATTGTGATGCAGTCAATAAATCATGGTTATAGCAAGCCCTGATTCAGTGCAATGTATGACCTCAGCTCACAATAAATGTCAGCAACTCTCAGGGAGAAGAGAAGTCCTCATGCTGTGATTTGGCCCCATCTCCTACCAATTGGGCATAAATGGGTCTGTTATTTCCAGATGCCTCACTAATATTTGCCTGGAACCTTTTCATATCAGTAATGGAAAGTCTAATTCTTCATTTTCCATCCACAAGAGCAGAGTGACCCCAGTGCATACAAATTAATCTTGTGTTTCTGATCAGAGTCTTCACTGGCCAGAACTTTCCTTCCCATTAACTGAGTCATTATCTCTTAAGTAATCCGTGGAAGAGCATCCATTAGAGGCACCACAAAGAAAACATGAGCAAACGCTCTGCTATGTTTGGCACGGGGCCCCATCTTCCACCAAAGTTCTCCCTACCCCCAGCTCCCATTCACTGTATCTGAGAAGCAGTGATCTGGATGCTAGTAATATTGTAGGATGGGGGTTATTATCATTATTATTTGAATGTAAAGCCTGATCCCAACAATTTGAAAGCAGTAATTTGAAAGAGTCGTTCAACGAGATGGGTGGTGACAAATTCAATAAATAAAAAAATAAAAAAAAATCATCATCGATTAGAAAAATAACATGATTCAAAAAGAATCCCGCCTTCCAGCACTTAACTAAAGAAGTGATCTGTTGTTTCTCATTCAGAAGCCGATGTGCCATTGGTGATCTACAGAAGTAATCTAGTTGGCATAGGATTCCTCCCCCAAGATGGGAGAGCAGAGAAGGGGGCCAGAAACAACAGCCTCCAGGTGGGTCCTCTGAGGCAAAGAACCACCCAGCTCAACAGAGTGAGAAATCTCAGAGAGGTTTGGGCTTAAGAACCAAAGTAACATTTTGCGATAGTTAACATTAACTTGTTATTTGGTCATATGGTGGGAGAGATGGTTAAGTCAGGATTTAGAGGTAGCCAGTTGCAACCACTGTATCAGTTCCAGCTTAGAAAAGTATTGCCAATAGTATGATTGCAATTTTTAATGCTTTTAAAACTTGTTATAACTAATACATATAATAACAGAGGCCTGGTATCTCTTTCTTCTTCCTGGAAAAAACTGAACATTTTGTTTCTATCTTCCTGGGGGCCCATTCTTTGATGAAGTGATTGGCTTGACTTTAGATACAAAAAGTTTAAAAGCACTGATCTAAGGTTGTTTGCACAATATGCTATGTGCTAGTAATATACTTTCCACGTTATGCTTAGCTATGATTTAATTGTGGTTTGTTGAAGAGGCTGGGTTAACACATTATTAACAAACCATAATTTTCAAATCATAATGGATTGGGCTTATACCACATAGTAGCCAAAGGAAGGAAGGAAGGAAGGAAGGAAGGAAGGAAGGAAGGAAGGAAGGAAGGAAGG